CGGCCGTGGAGCTGTGGGGACAGCCAGGGACATGTTCTGGACAGGCAGGGAGGGACAGAGGGGGGGATGGCAGTGGGGTGGGGATGGGAATGTTGGGATGGGGGAGGGAACCTTGGGATGGAGCTCAGATGGAGCTGGGGATAGACCTCCGGATGGAGCTGAGGATGGAGCTGAGATGGAGCTGGGAATGGAGCTCAGGATGGAGCTCAGATGGAGCTCGGGATGGAGCTCAGATGGAGCTTGGGATGGAGTTTGGGATGGAGCTCAGATGGAGCTGGGGATGGAGCTCAGATGGAGCTCGGGATGGAGCTGGGGATGGAGTTTGGGATGGAGCTCGGGATGGAGCTGGGGATGGAGCTTGGGATGGAGTTTGGGATGGAGTTTGGGATAGACCTTGGGATGGAGCTCAGGATGGAGCTCGAGATAGACCTTGGGATGGAGCTCATATGGAGTTCAGATGGAGCTCGGGATGGAGATGGGGATGGAGCTGGGGATGGAGCTCAGATGGAGCTCGGGATGGAGCTGGGGATGGAGATCAGATGGAGATTGGGATGGAGCTCAGGATGGAGATCAGGATGGAGCTGGGGATGGAGCTTGGGATAGACCTTGGGATAGACCTCAGGACGGACCTCAGGATGGAGCTCAGATGGAGTTCGGGATGGAGTTGGGGATAGACCTCGGGATGGAGCTCAGATGGAGCTTAGGACGGAGCTGAGGATGGAGCTGGGGATGGAGCTCAGATGGAGCTTGGGATAGACCTTGGGATGGAGCTCAGGATCAAACTTTTCATCAACCTCAGGACTGATTTTGGGCTCGACCTGAGGATCTGTGGGTGCTGACAGAGTGGGGTGAGCAGAGCTGGGTGCAGAATCCCTCTGGCCTGACTGGGGTGGGCTGGGTGGGGCTTGGAGCACCCTGGGACAGTGAAAAGTGTCCCTTGCCCATGGCAGGGATGGGATCAGATGAGTTTAAGGTCCCTTCCCAAACCATTCTGGAATTCCATGAACCCAAGGCTCGGGAGCAGGCAGGAAAACACCTGGAATTTCCTCTTTTTTCAGCACTAAAATCAGGAGAAGCTCACCTGAACACCCCAACACCAACCCCACAGATCTGTCCCCGTACCGTCACCATGGCCGCGCCCCACTCCCGGATTTTGGGGATGATTTTGTGAGCCACGTTGACCTTCTCCTGCACCCCAGTGCGGATCTTCACCGTCAGTGGCACATC